AGAAATAAGTGAGAAAACAAAAAAGAATCAAAAACCTCCATGAAATGAAAATCCTCTCTCCTCTTCTTCTTCATGTGAATGTCTGAGTTTCAATGCATGTGCTCGCTCTTCGATGTCAATTGTTTCTACAGCTTTTTCTTCACTCTCTTCTCTATCCCTTAGCTGTCACGAAACATTCTCTTTCACTCTTCCCTACTCTCTCCCCCCCAAATAAATCAGAAATCTATCAACATTCTTGAACAGCAACCAGAAAAATTTATAGACCAGTGTTTCACTTTCATTACCCATTTTTGTCGGAAACATTGAATCTTTTTGCTTGTTGTGGGTTCTTTAATGGATCCAAGAACAAGACTTGACTATGCTCTGTTTCAGCTCACACCAACTAGAACAAGGTAGTTGGTAGATTCTTTTTGTTTATTACCATTTTTTATCAGAGTCTTATGTTGATGATTGATTCTCTTGTCTCTGTTTTAAAGATGTGACCTTGTGATTTTCTCTGGTGGTGAGAATGAGAAACTTGCTTCTGGGATTTTTCAACCGTTCGTTACCCATCTCAAGAGCGTTAGAGATCAGATTTCTAGAGGTGGTTACTCCGTTACTCTCCGTCCTTCCTCCGTCGGTGTTCCTTGGTTTACTAAAGTGACCCTTCAGAGGTAAAGTCTCGCCGTCTCCTTAAAAAAGTTGAAAACTTTATGTCAAACCCTAAAATTTGATGATTTTTTTGTTTCCGATTTTGGGGTGAAGATTTGTGCGATTTGTGACTACTCCGGAGGTTCTTGAGAGGTCTGTAACGTTAGAGAAGGAGATTGAACAGATCGAGGATTCGATTCAAGCTAATGCAGCCGCCATTGCCGGCGAAGCTGAAGGTATGTTTGGACAAAGAATCAGAGATTCAAAATTGGTAATTTACCTTATAGAAATATCAAAAAGTTCAATCTTTTCCAACATTGTTGTAATCTTGTTCATGTATAGGAAACGAGTTGCGTGGTACATGGACTTCTCAAAAGTCTACGGCTTTATCAAAGGTGAGTTTTTTTTTGTCACTCTCTTAGATGGCAAAATTTGAGTTATTGATTGCTGTTTTAGTTGTTCTTGACTCTGTTTTATGTGTAGACGAAAGGGGAAACTGATGGAGTCACTGTGGAAGAAAATTCTAAGTAAGTTTTTAGTAGTCCTTCTTTTATGGTCTTGTTGGTTTAGCTTATTGTTTATATGAAGTCGATTGATCCTGATAAGTGGTGAATTGAATGGAATAGGGTTGGTCTTCAGCGTGTTTTGGAGAACCGCAAGGCAGCTTTGTGCAAAGAGCAAGCGATGGCTTATGCTCGAGCTTTGGTTGTTGGATTTGAAGTGGACTACATGGATGACCTGTTGTCTTTCGCTGATGCTTTTGGAGCTTCGCGGTTAAGGCATGTAGTTAACCATTTATGTCATTGTGTTGTTTGTAAGCTTTTGTAGCGAAATCATGAATGAACTTGTGTTTTTTTTGCCTCCGGGGAAGCGTGTGCTATTTTTGTGGACTTGTGCAAGAGAAAGGACGAAGACAGAATGTGGGTGGACCAAATCACGGCTATGCAAGCATTTCCTAGGCCTGAATTAACGTTCATGGGTGACTCTGGGATCGTACTCGCTGGTGAAGAGAACCATTTGTTGAATGCTACTAACGTAAAGCATGGAAACAACATGGATACCTCGAGCCAGGGTAGCTTTGAGACTGGCCAAGGTCCTTATTAGCATTAAATCTGATTTATTCATTAGATGATGCTTGAATTTGGTTTCTTTTCGGTTAGTAACTAAAGCTGAATTAACTGTATTGTGCAGAAGGGAGAGCTCAAATGGCAATGCCGTGGCCAAATCAGTTTCCTCAGTACATGCAGAACTTCCAAGGACATGGGTATCCTCCTTATATGTTTCCGGGGATGCAAGGCCAGTCCCCATATTTCCCTGGGAATATGCAATGGCCCGTAAACATGGGAGATGTGGAGTCAAATGAGAAGTCTTCCAAGAAGAAAAAGAAGAACAAGAACAAGAAGAAGTCAAAACAAGATGAATCTGCCGAGCCAAGCGATAATTCCAGTACTGAGACCGAATCAGAAGACGGAAATGAAGGAAAGAAACAATCCAGGAAAGTGGTTATCCGCAACATAAATTATATAACTTCAAAGAGGAACGGAGCGAAGGAGAGCGATTCGGATGAGTCTGAAGAAGAAGATGGGTTTGTGGATGGAGATTCTATCAAGCAGCAAGTAGAAGAAGCCATTGGCTCAGTGGAGAGACGGCATAAATCAACTTCACGCCGTCAGAGGAAACACAAAAGTCACAACGTTGACGATGATTTAAGTAACAAGGAAACTAAGGGGAATGATAATTGGGATGCCTTCCAGAATCTTCTTTTGAAAGACAATGACTCAGAGCCAGAAGAATCACTACGAACATCATCATCTGCATTAAACATGGAGTCTGAAGTTGTGAGAAAGAGAGAACCACCTTCGGATGATTCATTCTTGGTTGCAAATGGAAATGAGGATTGGGGAAGAGAAACCAGCATTGAGAAATTCAATGCAGGTGAGAATGTTCGGATGATAAGGAAAGGGAACAACTATGACGATGAGATGTTGAATCCGGGTAGAAGCGATGAATCAAGAAGCTATTCGCAGGCTGAGATGTCGGTTTATGATGGGAAGCTCAGAGCCAGAAATGAGGCAGAAGAAGACTGGTTCATACGTAACCAAGCTGGTCTAGAAACAGATCCAGGTCTTGTCAAAACATTTGTAGGAGACCATTTCCACTTAAATAAGAGCAGTGAGGGAGATGTCCTAACCGATGACTCCTTCATGATCCATTCTCGTGTTGAGGGCCAAGTAGAAGAGTCTCGGTTAAGGACAGAAATCATGGACTCAGACGTTTACGGAACCACCCAACAAGAAAACAATGCCCAGGAGAACACTCCGCATGAGCCAGATGACCTTTACATGGTTCTTGGACGGGAACAAGATGTTAAACCTACATTGTTACCATGGACCCCTGAAATTGACTTCGAGACTAACACTTTGGCTCAAAAAACAAGCAAAATCGATCTGGAAACTGCCACAAAGGCCTCTGCCGGTGAACAAACCTCAGATGGTAAAGAAAAGAAGAGTTGTGGTATCTCCAAGGGGAAGGATGCAAAGTCTAGAGCATCTAGTAGACCTGACCCAGCGTCAAAAGCCAAGAGACCTGCTTGGGGAAGTAGAGCTGCTGTCTCCAAGTCCAAATCCGAGATGGTAAGTTCCGCAACTGCTTTTCTCGTCTTTCTTGATTAGTTTTCTTTTCTCACCTGGATTTGGTTTTTGATAGGAGGAAGAGAGAAAGAAGAGAATGGAAGAACTTTTAATTCAGAGGCAAAAAAGAATTGCGGAGAAGAGTTCTGGTGGTAGTGTGTCAAGTTCCTCAGCGTCCAAGAAAACTCCTCCTGCAACCAAAACAGTGAAGAGCTCATTAAAGAGCGAGAAGACCCCAGAAGCCGCGCAGTCAAAGGCTAAGCCAGTACTGAGAAGTTCCACCATTGAGCGCCTTGCTGTTGCTCGGACCGCTCCAAAAGAGCCACAACAAAAACCAGTAATTAAAAGAACATCAAAACCTTCAGGAAACAAGACAGAGAAAGCTCAGGAAAAGAAATCGAGTAAAATAGGTCAATCCGATGCGAAAAGTCTGGAACTTTCTCGTGACCCGAGTCTCGAAATCAAGGAAACAGTGGTGGAAGGTTCACAGTCTTACTTGTCTCAGAAGCAAGTTGATGCACTTCCTGCTGCTGCTTCTGTTGATGATTTCAAAGACATTAAAGAATTGCATAGCTTGCCATCAGAAGAAACGGCCAGAGTAAACAACAGACCGAATGAAATCATAGCCGAGGCAACCAATCATCAGAAAGTACAAGATCAGACGAATATCAATGATCAGGAAACAGACAAGAAGACATCTGTTTCTGAGGATAAGCAAATCACCACGAACCATTATTCAGAGGATATCGAAGAGATCAAGGCATCACAGGAAAAACCAGTGTCTCCAAAGAAGTCAGTGACTTTTTCAGAGACAAACATGGAAGAGAAGTATTATGTCTCACCAGCGGTCTCAGAGATTGACATCTCGACGCCACCGGCGACTGAAGCAGATCATTCGAGGAAAAAATGGAACAGTGAAGAGACGTCTCCCAAGGCAACGGCTAAAGTTTTGAGGAAGCTTCTTATGTTCGGAAGGAAAAAGTAAAACAGAACTTAGAATTCTTCTTCTCTGGCATCATCGAACCTTTGTTTCGAGAGGACGTCATGTTGAGTTCAGTTAAAAAGCTGGTTTCATATTTTTCCTCTTTTATTCTTTAAATTTTTTCTTGTGTGATATGAAATACTGTTTTTTTTGTTTTTTTGTTATCAGTTTGATTTGTGTCTGTTTATATTACATTGTTGATGTGTTGTTTATAGCATTGAAAGTGGACATTTGAGTGTATAAAAATTGGTTTGATGAGTTTGAATAATGTATAAGATTCTTTTGGATTTTTGTAACTAAACCCTTTGATTTATGATCCATTCGGAAAACAGTAGAAAAAAAACAGAGGAATGGAGATGAAGTATGGTTCATCAGATGAGTTATCTATTGTAACTAAAAAAATAATACTACTTTCTCATGAAATTCGGTGAGATGATTCTTCAAATTTAAGCATTTGGTTCTGTTTGATTGATGAAGAAGTCTCTGACAGTACCATCCAACTACAACCTGTATAAGCATATTCTTCAGTTATTTTCTTCTTTATTTTGGTAACATGTTATCATCAAGTGGGAATCTAATTCCCGCGTTATATCTTTTCACGTTCAAAGCATTTTTTTTCAATCTGCTTTCCATTTTGAAACTTAGTGAAAAGAAAAAAAAAACAATTTTGAATTTCGTCACGTAAATTTCATAGAAACTATAAACAGCTCATTTTTTTTTATTATATTTTAGTAGGATACAGCTCAACGTCAATGTCATAAACAGCAGAGAATTCTCCCACAAGGAAGCTCTGTTACTACCTTTCTCATTAAGCATCCGTGACTACCGTATTCCCCAATTTATTAGATAAAGTTTTCAAGACACAAAATTACTTTTTATTGGACATTATGAATAAATAAATAAAGGTGAGATACCCACTTCAAAGAAATGGTAACGTGTCTTTTTCTTTAAGCGAGACGATCCAATCTAAGCAAACAAAGTTGTCTTTATATCTAAAGAACCATTTTGTGAAAGAAAGAGAGAGTAAGGTGAATCCATGGCGTCCAAGATTGTCTCCGCCATAGTCTTTGTGTTTAACCTCATTGCCTTTGGTTTAGCCGTTGCTGCTGAACAAAGACGAAGCACTGTGAGTCACATGTCCAAAATGATATATAACTTGAACAAGATGATGATTATGTGATCTATCTTAACATGTTGAAGTTAAATTTTTTGGTGGGACAGGCAAGGGTTGTGCAGGACACTGAGGTGCAATACAACTATTGTGTGTATGATTCAGACAGAGCCACAGGGTATGGAGTTGGAGCTTTTTTGTTCTCAGTGGTTAGTCAATTAGTTATCATGCTCGCTAGCCGATGCTTCTGCTGTGGAAAGCCTCTCAAGCCTGGAGGTTCACGCGCTCTTGCCCTCGTTCTCTTCATTGTTAGCTGGTAATATATATACTCTTTAGTTCATATAACTTAATTAGTTCATCACATATGTACCCCCTTGCTTAAGCTAGCTTTGACATATATAACTGGTTCTAGACTTCTAGTATGGCGATTTTTTTTAATTCGGTTTAAAGATGATTTAAATTTCACAATATATAGTGTGGTCTTAAGAATTATCATCATTCCATCATGGTATTAAAAATCACAATAAAACTTATGATCAGCTTACAAATGTTCTCTCCCTTTTTTAAACCACATGTGTTTCTATATTTCAAATCTAACATGCGTATTCAATCTAAATTACCAAACCTCTTAATATGTTATAAGCCAAACGTGCTTACTGATCCAATTGTGCTTCAATCTATCACTGAAATGATCAAATGCACAAATCTTTCATTCAGCAAGCAAAACAAACGAAATTGTGCTAATATTTTTACAATTTGAATGTTGTTTTTGTTGGCGAAAAAAGGATATTCTTCTTGATAGCAGAGATATGTCTATTAGCTGGATCGGTAGAAAATGCATACCACACAAAGTACAGGACAATGTTCATGGACAATCCTCCTGATTGTCAAACTCTACGTAAGGGCGTCTTTGCCGCCGGCGCCTCATTCGTCTTCTTCAACGCCATTGTCTCTCAGTTCTACTATTTCTTCTATTCCTCTGCTGCCGAGGCCTCCCTTTCACCTTACTAGAGGTTCTTAACCAACAAATAAGTTCTTTGTTTTTTTCTCTAAATGTGATATGCTAATATCATATTTTGGGGTGGTTTTTTATGTATGACTGCAAAATTATTTGAAAATGATGGTACAACTATGAGTTTTGTAGATTGATTGGTATGGTTACTGAGTTGAAATGTTGTTTTAAAAAAAGTGGATGTAATTTGACGATTTGTGACACATGATATACTGCTCTTATTCATTGAATAAGGTTTGATTTGAGCTAGTCTCGTGAATGCGTAAATTCAATTTCATATAATGCATACTTTTGAGTTTTGACAGAGTAAAAATTGTATATTACTGGAAAAAAGTTATCCAAACATGAGAGCGTCCATAACAACTAGTAGCAACACTAGCTCTATCTATCTCCCATGCCAAAAGGGTATGGAATCCCATCAACACCAATCAGCAATCACCATCCCTTTATTGCAACTGTTCCATTTGTTTACCCAAAAAAATAGTTTAAAAGACATTAAAATAAAATATCTATGAATTAGGAAATCTAATCCACGAATTTTCATTGGGTATTCAACGATGACGTGGCAGATACTTTGTTCAAGATAATGCTATCCACACATCTTCGGTGACCTCTGTAGGGACCAATCTTCCTTTGTCCGAATATCAACTTCTCATCTCTTTCGCTAGTACATAAACGCACACACTCTCTCTCGCAAAAAATATCCACTTCGATAGTTTTCTTCAGCAATCGCTTTTGCTACCTCTCTCTCTGTTCGAGTACCAACAATGGCCCTTCAAGCTGCTTCTTTGGTCTCCTCTGCTTTCTCTGTTCGCAAAGATGCGAAGTTGAATGCTTCTTCATCGTCTTTCAAGGACTCTAGTCTATTTGGTGCCTCCATTGCAGAACAAATCAAATCCGAACATGGATCTTCCTCGTTAAGATTCAAGGTACATAACTAATCTTCATTCCTCTCATTACATTGTTGATTAGTAATTGCTCATGATTAGTAATGGTTAATTGATTATGCAGAGAGAACATAGCTTAAGGAGTCTAGCAATTCGAGCCCAAACCGCTGCGACTTCAAGCCCTACGGTTACAAAATCCGTGGACGGCAAGAAAACGTTGAGGAAAGGAAATGTGGTGGTCACTGGAGCCTCGTCTGGATTAGGTCTAGCCACGGCTAAAGCTCTAGCCGAGACAGGTAAATGGCACGTGATAATGGCGTGCAGAGACTTCCTTAAAGCGGAGAGAGCCGCTAAATCCGCAGGAATGCCTAAAGACAGCTACACAGTGATGCATTTAGACTTAGCCTCGTTGGACAGCGTGAGACAGTTCGTTGATAACTTCAGGAGAACAGAGATGCCTCTCGATGTTTTGGTCTGCAATGCTGCAGTTTATTTCCCGACAGCTAAAGAGCCTACTTACAGTGCTGAAGGGTTTGAGCTTAGTGTTGCGACGAATCATTTGGGACATTTTCTTCTCGCAAGGTTGTTGCTTGATGACTTGAAGAAATCTGATTACCCTTCAAAGCGTCTCATCATCGTCGGGTCCATTACCGGTATTGTCTAGAATCTATATAGCCCTACATTGCAATATAGAGAATGATTTTGATCATTGTTATCTTTGTTTTGTTTTAGGGAACACGAACACATTGGCGGGTAATGTACCACCGAAGGCGAATCTCGGTGATTTGAGGGGTTTAGCCGGCGGATTAAACGGTTTAAACAGCTCGGCTATGATTGATGGAGGAGATTTCGACGGTGCAAAGGCTTACAAAGACAGTAAAGTCTGCAATATGTTGACGATGCAAGAGTTTCACAGGCGTTACCATGAAGAAACTGGAGTCACTTTCGCTTCGCTTTACCCCGGTTGCATCGCCTCCACGGGTTTATTCCGAGATCACATTCCGCTCTTCCGTGCCCTCTTCCCTCCCTTTCAGAAGTACATTACTAAAGGATATGTCTCCGAGACAGAGTCAGGCAAAAGACTTGCTCAGGTATTAAAAGATAAAGTTGTTTTGTAGCTTGTTAGCCAAGGAAATACATTTCTTGCGGTGTACTCAAGCCATAGAGTTTGGTTTGATCAGGTGGTGAGTGATCCGAGCTTGACGAAATCAGGGGTTTATTGGAGCTGGAACAATGCTTCAGCTTCTTTTGAGAACCAGTTATCAGAAGAAGCAAGTGACGTTGAGAAGGCTCGTAAAGTGTGGGAGATTAGTGAGAAGCTCGTGGGCTTGGCCTAATAAACTTGAAATCTGTTAATTTGATGAGACCTCTCCGTACCAATCGACGAAACCTAGTGAATTTTCGGGATTTTTCTAGATGTCTGATTCTGTTGCGAAGTTTTTCTTCCTTAGTGTCTGTTGAGTGTAGATTGCTTGGCGAGTAGCCCACAATAAAGAAATAAAATCGGTGAATCTTTAGCTATATTTACTCTGTTTTTCATCGAAACAGATCAGTTATATACTCTGTTTTTTGTCTTCTTACAGTATAATTTGTTCACAACCGATATTATCAACTTCTTTGTAACACATTTCGTTCCTGAAAGAGTGTATAAAAAATGTTGAACTTCATGGATTTTACAATTCAAAACCATGTTCTTCCTATAAGTCATCTCCTCCGACACTAAACCCTATTTAAATCACCTTATTTGGATCAACAAATTAGGTTTTGAGACAAATGTAAGTTTGATAAGCTTCCAACTTAAAATCAATGCGCAATGAGTGTAAGAACCTTGAAGCTTATTCACAGTTTTATTCATGGCAAACTTAGGAACAGTACATAACTAAGATAAAAGCGGAGAAGAACAACAAGTGCGAAAAAGAAACTATTTTGAAAGTGTTAAGTATTCAGAGCGACCAATTGGCTTCACTTCCTCGACGAGGGATACTGTTAACACGATTGTACACATCGACCTTGAAGTTGGCACCGCATAGAACTCCCTCACTGTCCACTCTCGGCATCGCCTTGATCTTATTCATCGGATGCTCAAAGCTCATTAACCCTCCTTCGCTATGGAACATACACCCTGCAAAATTTATCAAACACTTTCACTGATTACATATATCATTACATCAAGTCCAAGTCTTTGTTAAGCATATGAAGATTTCAGTATCACCTGTAGGAAATGGAGCAAAAGATTTAGCACAACCCTCTTTAATAACATCCAAATCATCTGATATAACAACAGATCCATCAGCAGCTATGCCCCAGTATAGCTTCACCCCTCCATCAGATCCCTACAAAAAATCCATCAAATTGTACTTATCACATCTTTAAACATTGAAATTTGGTTTCATGATCAGGCTTGTCCTGATTAGTGAGTAGTACCAGAGCCGTGAAGACAGAACCGGCTTTGCTATCATAAACCACAAAGGAAAAGCTTCCGTCTAAGTCTTTGACGACCTGATCAGCTGGATAAGGACCTCTGTCTCTAAGAGTCCTATAAGCTTCGATCACAAACATGGCCTCGTTTGTTGTCTTGGTTAGACCATATTGTTTGTTTAGCTGGCACAGATTGTTCAAGCTCCCAAAGAACAGACAGTAGATGTCATCAAATCCACAAAACAACCTGACAAGAACTGAAGATCAATGGAGCAGAACCTTAAAACAGAAGAGAACCAAGATTGTGTCTGTTAGTTACCTCTGGTGGATGGAGAAGGAAGCAGAGGGACGAACGTAAGCAAGAACAGCTGCTTGTCCGAAAGACATGGAGAAAGTGTTGAGAGGGTAACGTAATAAGAAATCGTTTAGGGTTTCTTCTGGAAGTTTTGGTTGTTTAGAGCATTTCTCTGATGCCGGACTGTTGAGTTCCTCCGGCGGATGAGCAAACGCCTCGTGAAATATAGCCAACATTTCTCTCCTTAGTGAACCAAAAGAAGAAAAAAAAAATCAAATCTAAAAGGAAAGAGTTTTGTTTCTCTGTAAAAAGAATCTTTGAAAGGAAGAATGAAGAAAGTGGCAAGGTTTCTTGAGTAGTATATACTATATTTGAAGCGGTGGGCTGTTTGTTTTAGTCCGTTGTCTGTTTTATCTTCTTTTCCTGTGGGAAGGAAAAACGTTTTGGATGCGATCATGAGACTTGACTATTCCTTCCTTCTATATTATTAGACTTTAGTATTTTATTAATGGACAAATCGTCTATATCTTAGTCATCAACTCAATTGATGTGTTTTAAAATTTTAAGATTAATCGAAATTCTATATTTGGATAAAGATGATAAGAGATAAACCTATAAATGTAAGTTTAAATTTTGTAAAAGGAAAACAAACGGAGTAGTATCATAAAATGAAAATAATATAGATGGATTTTTTTTTCTTTGCAATATTCTCTGGTGTTTTTTGAAAATGTGTTGATATTTTTGATACATAAGGTTTTTGGATAGAGAATCTCTGCATATTATTTAGCGGGGAGGAGTGGGAATTGGTGGGGCCATGAAAGAGAGATGTCAGTGTCACGGGATAAGCATTCTCGTACTTTTATGTGTTCTTATCTTCCCACTCTTTCTTTTCTGCATTTTTTTCCGGATAAATTCATTTTATCCATTTCATCATCATTGATTTGATTGGTAACTTTTTATGCCGTGTTCATATAACATTTTTAGGCCATACAATTGTACTTAAAAGTTAAAAGTTTGACTTAGCTACCTAATTTAAATTTTTACATTGTCATATAGCTAATTAACTCTACATGAAACACTTTTCATATGAGAACCAGCTAATTAACTCTACACGAAACTTACCATATGAGAACCTTTAGTACACCGTACATCTAATATTTTATTTTCTATTTAAAATTTTTGGAGAGAAAATTTACCTGTGATGTGATTCCCGATACTTGGATGGTTTCCCAGGACTGAACAGCATTGCAGTATATTGCTTCATCCTCATCATTATCACTGGCACACTTGTTAAAACCTCATTTTGAATTTCCCATGACAGCACCATGATCGGCCCAATAACGATATAATAATATCCATAATAGGCCATTTCATTTTTGGGCCTGATGGCCCTATTAATCTTATTTATTAAATTGATTCCACTTTTTTTTTTTTCTATATAATATTTTACTAGTCGAGCTATTCGACTTTGTTCTAGAATAGTACTCTCTCTCTTTCTAGAAAAATTGTTTTACGTTTTATACATTAATTTAAAAAATAATTTTTATATTTTTATTATTATTTTTTTGTTAGTTTAATAATATTAGTTTCTTTTTTATTGACTACTAATGAAATATTGATGAAGTTATTCCAAAACATCAATTTTTGTGAAACAAGCAAAAAATTCAAAACATCAAAACTATTAGGAACAGATGGAGTACTAAATTGCTAATGCAGAACGTGTATGTACATACTTCAAATTTATGTGACATAAAATTTTGCAAAAAGAATATGTACACCAATATCCAAATTTTCTTCAAATAGTTTACTAATCTCAAGTGGTAAAAGAAGATATTTTCTAAACCAAGTGTAGTTAGCTCAAATTAGGGGTGGGCATTCGGGTATGCGGGTCGGGTTCGAGTAAAACCCGATCGGGTACGGGTCTTTCGGGTAGAGGAGTTTAGGACCCAATAAGGTAAATCTAAAATATCGGTTCGGTTTCGGTTCGGGTCTAATCGGGTTCGGGTCGGTTCGGATTTAGATTTTTAGAACCGCTAAATACCCGAAAAAATCGGGCACCCATCGGTTTTGGGTATTTTATACCCAAATACCCAAAATTTTACCAAATACCCGAATTTTACCCGAAATTTTACTCTAATATCCAAATTTTATCCGCAATTTTACTCAAATATCCGAGTTTCACCCAAAAATTTATCCGAATAACCGGAATTTTGTCCAAATATTTAAAAAATTTATAAGCATCTCGCGTATAAATATATTTAGTCTTAAATATATAAATATAAGTGCATTTAATTTTTGGTAATTACTCTCGGATATTTGGATATAAATGTATTTAGCTCAAATATTACATATATATAAAGTTTTTATATGTATAAGTATAAGTAATTTCGGGTAATCGGGTACCCGTTCGGGTATCGGGTTCGGATCGGATTTTACCCTATACCCACGGGTACGACAATACAAGATCCAATAGGGTAAATAGCTAATAACCGTACCCGCCCTGAACCGGTTTTTTCGGGTCGGTTTCGGTTCGGGTACTCGGGTACGGTTTTTTTGCCCATGCCTAGCTCAAATGGTAAAGACCCTAGGCGAAGCTTAGAGGTCGCCGGTTCGAGTGACGCTTGGGACGAAACTAATATTACGTGATGTGGTTTCAGATCTGTGAGATTACGGACTTTGACCCGGAACCTTTTCGTATTTAAAAAAAAAAAAAAAAAACTTCCTAAATTAACAATTAAAAAAAAAAGGAAAAGTAAGAAACATTAGGTGAGAAAGGTCCTTTTAAAAAAAATCCATAAGCTCTCTAGAGATTCTAATGATACATACTTAATTACATTGCATAAAAATTGTCTTACGTTGGACATCACCGGACATGGATGAAGGTCGTTTTGAATCCAATTGACCAGATAATAATGCAACATAAGTCACGCCCAATATCATCTAATGCAAATTTACAAGTAGCTAGTAACCGATTAAGTAATTATGAAAGATAAGCAAACACACGTCCAACACTCTCACCGCTCTTTGTTTTTTTTTCGTCTCATCTCTTTTAAAGTTCCTGAACTACTAACCTTAAAATATTCGTTAAAGTCTATGTAAATGAAAATCAAGGTCTGCTTATCTGTTGCACGTTCCATATAAGGACAACCACAGATCACGTTGCTTCGTCAGCGACTGTACAAAAAGCTGGAGGCCCGTCACATTCGTTCGCCTACTTTCGTTGAATCTATTATTGTTCACGTCAACGCTGATTCATATATCATTTCGTTTAGATCGCCATGTTCACTTTTATCACATTGTTTTCATTTTCCAATATCAGAAAAAAAAAAAAAAAAAGTTTACTGATTAACAAAGTATATAGTTTTGTAGACTATGGTATAACCTATATATATGATTGATGCTTCATTTGATTATTTTTTTGTTTCCACCATCTTATAACCAAATTGATGGTAGATTAGTAGTTATATATATAACTACAATATGTATATGGCCAACGAAAGACTTAAAAGAGTCCATTAGTATACTGTTTAATTGGTAAACGCAATGATTAGTCGATCCAAATAACTTAATAAAAGCATCATACAAAAAAACAAAGGCTTGGAATCATAAAGCCAACATGCAAGGTCACTGAGGTTTTTTAAATAACATTGATGGACACTTTGTTATTTAGTGAAAACGTACAATTAACTATTATATACGTACGGTTCCGAGTGTCTTAGATTAATATTCTTTACGCAAAAAAGATACTCGCTCTACCGGTGACGTCACTGTATAAGTCACACTGGTCAGATTTGTTGATGTATCATCTTCATTGATGTTCCCTCTTGGACTATATCTACACCTGGACATTCAGGTATCCGAATCGGGTTCGGATCATTCGAATAGAGGAGTTTAGGATTCAGTAGAATTTCCAATTTAAAACCAATTAAAATCTTATATTACTGTAAATCTCATGTCTCGTCCAATGTGAATTTTTAAAAGCTTAAAGAAAAAACCAGAGCCGGATCTATGTTTTGGAAGGCTACAAGCAAATTTTTTTTAAAAAAAGCTGTTTTGTATATTTAAAAAAAAATTAGCACCAAAAAAACCGTTATTGGGTTTGGCACCCTTGGAATAATGACCAATACCACTACACTAAAGGAACTTTTTGGAAATTTAAGGCCGAAATTTATATATATTTTTAGCGGCCGCAAGCAAATGTTTCATGAGCTTGTGCCATACGCCGGCTCTGGATAAAACAATCATGTCAGTTCGTGTAACATAGAGAGAGCTAAGAGAGGGATCACATATTCTGTGTAGCATATAGCAGTAAAAAATGTTGCATGCATGATGTAGACAAATCAGGTTCACATGATCACTTACGTTCATGGAATCGAATAACTTATAGAGAAAACACAACACATTGCGAAAAACAATACGAGAAAACATATTTTTGTATTAAAGTAAGTACTAAGGCAACCAGGGTCGGTCCAACAATATTCGTGGCCTGAAGCAAAAAATTTCGAAAAAGAAGCATCTACAAATTAAATGGAAGAAAACGAATCAAATAAAAAAGGAAATATATATAAAAACGAAAGAAAGCAAAATGGAAAACATGAAAAGAGTACAGAAAGATATACTCAAACTCAAAACTTTAAAGTAAATGGAAGAAAAGTATTATAATGCTAATCTAAGAAATTAATTAAGTGCCTCCAAAATCCTTATTATAATGTGTGGCCCTAAATCTAATCCTTTGCTTGGGTGGCTTGCCCAGCTGACCGGCCTTGTAGGCAACACTTGACCAGAAAGAAAGAAAAAAGAAAGAAAGAGAAAACAGTCAAACACTTGGCCAAGTTGTTACATTACGTGCAAGTACGACCTGTTTATATGTAAGAATTGGAAAGCGTATTTCTAATGGGGCGTTTAGTTAGGGTCGAAATATGAAAACACTACCTATGAGAAAAAGAAAGAATCAGGGTCAAGCTAGTTTTAAAATCTGGAATATATGTATAAGAAATGGTTTGTAAGAAATAAATATTATAAGGAAAATAGACTTGGTATTTAAACAGAAATTAAAAGTTATTTAATCAACACAAGAGTGAGAAAAGGTGTTTGATGGAAGATATGATGTAGACCAGGTGCCATTGCCAGCTTGTTGCACTGTTGGACTTGAAGTAACTGAATAAGTTGATAACTGAAACGTGTCCTATAATTGTCATTAGGAGTCACACCACAAAAAGGTATTTGTTACTAGTAAAAGTTGGAAATATAAAAATTGAAAAACTTTGGTCATATCTAATCTAATCTTTATCTTTGGTTTGGTTTTATACGATCACCCCGAAGAAACATCATATAAACCTTTCCCATATCATACCTATAAAGAACATGATTTTAACTATTTTTCAGTTGTTTCTTCTAGTGGGTTCATCGAACTCATCATCAATTGTCGTCATCTGTTTGCATTGCATTGTGCTCTTGCTTACTTGAATGAGTTATAACAATAGAGAACTTTTTAGTTTTCTTTTACCGTGGTTTGAGTTCACCAACAACACTTGAAAGTATAACTTGTTCTACTTGGTTTTATAATTAGTGTATGTGAGATCTTTTGATTACGACCACGGATATGTTTAAATGTTCGCTTACTGTATTTGTGTCCTTTTTCCCTTAAAATTTATCATTGTATTTGTGTCTAGAGTTGCTTATAGAAGTGTAATTTTTATTTTTATTTCGATATATACTTGTCTTCAACTTAATTTTTCTTACTTTTTAATAAAAAAAAAGGTATGATATGCATTATCGGAGGATCCTAAACTTGTCTATAAGATCTCACGAGGCGGTCTCTGACTTTGATTACATCGTACAACCCATCTCTTTTGTTTGATAACTTCTCTCTCTCTCTCTGTTCATCATCACACTTTCTAGAGACTGCTTCTTCTTCTCTTTCCTTGAATTTGATGGCACTGTCTCTTCTCTCCTACGATGTCTCCGACCTCTGTCTCGGCAAGCCTCCACTCCGTTCTCTCTCCGCCTCTTCCTCCTCCGTATCAGACGCCATCACTGCCCTGAAATCCTCTGAAGACACTTTCCTCTCTGTCTGGAACTGCAATCACAACGATGACGTTGTCACAGAATGCGAGTGCTTGGGGAAAATATCAATGGCTGACATCATCTGCCACTTGTCCAAAGACCACGACCACACTCTCTCTGCCTTAAACGCATCCGTCTCTGTTCTTCTCCCCAAAACTCGTTCCATTGTCCTCCATGTTCAACCCTCGTGCAGGTTTTATATTCGTTCAATCTCTCTCTCTCTCTCTTTTGATTTCTAAAATCCAGTCAGTGTTTACATAAAAATTCAACCTTTATTTTGTTTTTCCTCTGTTTACGTGCTCTGTTGTTCCTAATCAGCTTAATCGAAGCCATTGATCTGATAATCCAAGGAGCACAGAATTTGATTGTCCCAATACAGACAAAGCCCTTCACTAAGAAAAGGCAGCATAAGGACAACGTGTCGGTCACCACCACCACCCACTCGAACGGACGACGATTCTGCTGGATCACACAAGAAGACATCATTCAGTTTCTCCTCGGATCCATCGCCGCATTCTCTCCTTTGCCGGCCATGTCACTCTCTGACCTCGGTATCATCAACAGCACACACACGATCCTTGCGGTCGATTACCACTCCTCCGCCTCCGCAGTTGTCTCCGCCATATCCAACGCTCTCGCCGTCCAAACTTCTGTCGCAGTGGTCGACGGTGAGGGAGATGATGACCCTTTTACGTATTTGATCGGTGAAATATCCCCAATGACACTAACTTGCTGCGACGAGACAGCAGCTGCGGCGGTGGCGATGCTCTCTGCAGGAGAACTGGTGGCGTACATAGACGGAGCAAATCCGCCGGAGAGTTTTGTTCAGAACGTCAGGAACCGTTTGGAGGACAAAGGATTGATGGGTTTGCTCTCGCTTTTCGATTCTCTCTCACCTTATTCGACGTCGTCGGGTTATTCCTCGGAGGAAGAAGCTCCAGCGAGGACGACGTCGACGTATGGGAGGTCGATGAGCAGCTCAGCAAGAGTGGCGAGGAAGTCGGAGGCCATAGTGTGTAACCCGAAGAGCTCGTTAATGGCGGTGATGATCCAAGCGGTTGCTCATCGAGTGAACTACGCGTGGGTGGTTGAAACGGACGGTTGTTTCGTTGGCATGGTTACTTTTGTTGATATCTTAAAAGTTTTTAGGAATTTTTTGGAGAATAATGACATGTGAAAAGTTTTGTTTTTCTTCTGTGTTTTGTCGATTACTAAAGCCCAACAAAAAATGTGTATTTAGGGGTGTGTTTTTTTGTGTGTGGATGAGCCGGGTGGAGTTTGTAATTAACCAAAACTGAATCAAACGTTTTTGGTTTGTTTAATTTAATAGCAATCACTTTGATTTACGAATCTTTATGTCAACAAATAGTTCATATTTATGTATATTTCATGTACCATGATGAGGATATAGTATCTCGATGGTCCTTGCGACCAATGTGTATGATTTTGAAAACATCTCTACAACAGAGAGAGAGAGAGAGAGAGCTCAACGAGGTTTAGGAAACATAAATCTTTCCGAACATTGGTATTATTGTCCTTCTGTCTTTGGAGGTTAACATAGATATGAATAGTGCGCGTAGCAAATTCACAACGTAGCCTAGTTTCATCCTCGATTCGAATATTTGATTGTGTTTCTTACAGCTTAAGCATAACGATCAGCTTTTCCCACAAATTCAGATTTAAAGTTTTTACTTTTGCAAACACAAACAAAAGGGACAAAGAACAAAGTAAAGTATGGATTTTATTGATAGATACTTAACCCTTTTTGGGTTAAAAAGCTACTATGAATGAAATCTAAATTTAATTGTGTGTTAGATTTATCCACCGAGTAAATTTTAATCCCGACATTAGTGGATGGTAAGATTTAAGATAGAGCATTATCCAATAAAAAAAAAAAAACGTCCACACCGTCGTTGTCTAAAAATATCTCAAAATGATTATATATTAAGATAATACTAATTGGTAAAGACGAAGAGGAAGCAACATCACCGTCGTTTGTCTTTAAAACCTTTTGCGATTACCATCATCGCACGTTGAATATACGTCGACTTTAACATCTTCCAATCTCTGAAAGCCCTCCTCCTCTCTTCGAGCTTCATCATCATCGTCTCGTCGTCGGTAGGTTTTTCTTCATCTGTCTTGGATTGGATTCTCATTGAGTTATTGTTGTTGGTTCGTTGATTTTTCTGGCTCGCGTTTGTAATCGGATAATTTAGGGTTCCGCCAATTTTTCGATTCATCTGTTAGTCTTTTGGATTTTGGAAGAAAACGGGAATTTGAAATCGGAATTCTAGTTTCTCCCGTATTGACTTTGCTTGTTATCTTATAGCTGGGTTGTGGTTTTGCAAATGGGATTCTCGCAATCTCTTTGAATTGCTTAAGATTTGACCTTTAGAGGCACAAGTCAATTCAAAGGGATTTTCTTTTTGGGGTAGAAAGATCTTGAGAAATGAGAATCTATCTTTTTTTTTTCCGTCTATTGAGTATGTTTGTATCGTGAACAGGATCTTACCTCTCATGGAAGGAAACTTCTTTATCAGGTCTGATGCTCAACGAGCACATGACAATGGCTTCATAGTTAAACAAAAACCTAATCTAATCACGGCTCCAACGGGAGGTCAAGCTAATGAAAGTGGCTGTTTTGATTGCAACATCTGTCTAGACACAGCCCATGATCCGGTTGTCACTCTCTGTGGACACCTTTTCTGCTGGCCTTGCATTTACAAGTGGTTACATGTTCAGTTATCTTCTGTCTCCATTGATCAGCACCACAACAATTGCCCTGTCTGTAAATCCAACATTACTATCACCTCTTTGGTTCCTCTCTATGGAAGAGGCATGTCTTCGCCTTCTTCCACGTTTGGCTCCAAGAAACAAGACGCACAGTCCACGGACATACCCCGCAGACCCGCTCCATCAACCTTAAACAGTCCAATCACCTCAGCATCATCTCTGAACCCAAGCTTGCAACATCAAACTCTGTCTCCATCATTTCATAATCACCAGTATTCCCCTCGTGGCTTCACCACAACCGAATCAACCGACCTTGCCAATGCTGTCATGATGAGTTTCCTCTACCCGGTGATTGGAATGTTTGGGGACATGGTCTACACTAGGATATTCGGGACCTTCACAAACACAATAGCTCAGCCTTACCAAAGCCAGAGGATGATGCAACGCGAGAAGTCTCTTAACCGGGTATCCATATTCTTCCTTTGTTGCATCATCCTTTGCCTCCTTCTCTTCTAGCTCCCTCTCTTCTTGTATAGTTTGTGATGTAAATAGGCTGTAAAACTCGAAGTCACTGTGGTATAACCACTACTGCAGACACCATTGTTCCGAGTTAGGTCTCAAATTGCAGGCCAATATCTTGTTGTGTATTACATAGATATCGATAAATGTGCTTGTATGATTGTTTCTAATCTTCATGAACCATGTCTATGTTGGAGAGCGTATGAACACTTTATCATCTATTTTATGTACTTATATCAGATAAATTTATTTCCCTTAGTCCTTCTAACAATAGATGTCGCTGAGTTTTGCGACGAAGAGATAGAAACGTTAGAGCGAAAGATGAAGTGAATTGGATTATTATACTGGCTTAGAAATAGTGACAAATTTCCACAATGTTTGTCAGTTTGCAGAAAGAATTATACGGATTAATTGGACATGGAACATCTAGAGCGCATATGAAGCCTATCTACATTGCCTTTGAGTCAATTTAGATGTCAAAACAAGTCTGCTAACAAGCACACGAAGCCTGTTAGCTCCAGGACCGGGCTTGATCTTTGATGGATCACCAACCCTCGAGCATTTTGGTTCCCCTGCACACCAACCACCAGGCGTAAAGTTTCCGTTACCTCTACCGAGCAGCTCTTTATCGATCTTATCCAAGGCAGGATCATTGTGTCTGAACTTGCGGGCAAACGCACTTCCACTTGCAATCATCTTCTCTATATCGTTGATGTTGAGCGTCCGAGGATGCTGTTTAGGAGGGCGGTCCCAGGAGATGAAATGCAGGTCGTGGTTCAGCACCGTGGAAGAGTACTCTGGAGCGTTGCAGATGACAGTATGGAAATATCCTTCCGGTGTAGAGAGGAAATTGGTGTAATACATTAGAAGAGTTCGTGGAAGATTGTCCCATCCCCAAATGCAATATTCTACGAACGACCGAGATAAGACCATCCAAGCGGAACCTGCAGTTTCACAGATTAGTCACCAATTTTTTCATAATCATTACTCACTAATAACTGAATTACCGGTAAATAGTTTGAATGCAGTTGGCATGGTTCTTCGAGGTGTAACCCAGAAGACATCTGACTTTTTTGTGGAGTAAAGCCCCGGGTCTATGATCAGAGGCTTTGCTCGTTTATCTCTGCGAAAAAACCGCATTTGGATTAAAGCAGAAGTAAACATACTCAAATGTACATCTATACAGAGAAGCAATCATTACTCTTTCCAGCCTAGTTTGCTACTGTGGTCGATAAAGTTGAGGTTCCGGTCCAGTCCCGAGAATGTATCAATGAGATCTGCAAGCAAGGGGCACTGATGATCCGGGCAGAGATTATTTGAAACGGAAGAGAGACTAGAAACATAACTATATTACCATCTTGAGTGACTAGAGGATAATCCGAGGCACTGAGATTGATGAACCAATCCCATTCTTTACTCTGCTTCAAGAGAATAGCGCAAGCGTGGAGCGTGTTAGCCACCATAGTGGGTCCTCGATACGTAACGAGGTTAGCCTTTGTGATCATGTGAACATTCCCAACATCACTAAAAACAGGATCTTCACTCACACGTTTAGCCAGCTCAAGCCTCTCTTCAGCAGGAGACTCGAGATCAAGATGAACAACATATTGATTCCTCGGATGGTACAATGTTCTTAAAACTCTCCATAGACTCTCTAAGTCACCTCTTGACCCTGAAACTAGATAAGCAAAGCGAGGAGGACTAGGCTGTACTGGAGGAGGATGAGAAGACTGATTGATCTTTGACTCTGCGAATTCGGCTCGTGTCTCGTTCGTGGTCGATAGATTGTAGGAGAAGATGAGTGAGTTAATAGAACGGACAGAAGATATGAGACCCATGTTGAAGGATGCAGCTATAAGGAATATGAACATGAGAGAAGCCATTGCTAGAGGGAAAATCCATCTCTTCTCTGAGTTCGAGGACGCCATTAAAGAACCTTCTCATAAGACCAATCTCAGTTATGTTAACAAAAGAAGCCAAAACTTTGGTCTTGTAGATGCATCAGAGAAGCAAGATCTTCACAAATTGAGGTTGCGCCTAACCTACGCCACAGTTGACACACTATCAGAGATCTATACATGTATTGATGATCATTGAATTCAACGACCAAACAAAGTTATTTTTCTCACGTGTATGAAAACCAACCTAAATTTGATCTTTGATTCCGAGCATGCAAAAGTAAAATAAAAATTGATACAAGTCGAATAATTGAAGAGGAAGAAAAACAGAGGATTTGATGAATCGTCGTGATCACAAAGTATGAGCCGATCTTACAATAATAAAAAAGATCGAAAAGACAAATCTAGAGCTGTCTAAGGATAATGAAACCTACTTACATGTTTCTATTCGTAAGAAATCAAATAACGTAAAAATATGATTAGCATTAGCATGAGCATAACAAAAAAAACCTGATTCTTAATTTTCATGGATATGACGCGAGAATGTTTAAAGATCCGGGCAGTTCTTAACACTATCCACGAGGTTGTCTTTGTCTGAAACGAAGATTTATTAATTAAAATGTCGGATTACCTTCTTTTATTTTTTTCTATAGAAAATAGATAATGAAAGAAAGAAAGAAATCTGAGAGTTATGATGGTACTGGGCTTCGGTTTTCCACAGAGATGTTTTCGTTTTAACTCGCTTCCCAGAAACGGTGCGTTCTCCTTTGACTTTTTTATTGCGAGTCTTTGAGTTTTTGATTTGTTGTTAAGTACTGGCTTATTAAATTGCATTAATTTCAATTTACCGGCTAAAAGCGGCTGAAAAAACATAGGACTACTTCACCACTCCCTCCGTTTCGTTTTACTTGTCGTTTTAGAGTTAAAATTTTGTTTCATAATAGTTATCGTTTTAGGTTTTCGATGCAAATGTTTTGTGAAAATTCCAGTTTTATCCACTCCCTCCGTTTCGTTTTACTTGTCGTTTTAGAGTTAAAATTTTGTTTCATAATAGTTATCGTTTTAGGTTTTCGATGCAAATGTTTTGTGAAAATTCTAGTTTTATCCCTACTGTTTTAATATTTCGGCCAATGAATTTTGTTATAAAATATACTAATAAAGGATAAAACAGAAAATTTAATGTTTTTCTTAATATGTGTGAGAAAACCTTAAACGACAACTAAAGCGAAACGGAGAGAATATTAATTATGGGAAGATGTTAAAAGAAAAGTTAGCTTCTGGTGGACAAAACGTGATATGGACCGACGACGTCAATGATAACATTTCGAATAATTTGAAAATGGAGGATAGTGGCCAAGTAATGCGAAATGTCAAACGTGCAATCCATCGTATGATCAAGCTGACTATCAGTCGAGGCATTATTTAATTTGGAGAATGAAAAGACATTATGTTGATTTACCTTAATGGGTCATACTTTATATGAACCTCATTTTAATCCTTGGGTTATACTTAGTTTGTATATTATTTAATGTATGTATATATGTTTTCTTAATGGTATCAGATTTATTTATTTATTATTATTTTTGTTGTTCACAATAAATATGTAAAGGAGTAATTTAGTGGAATATATATTTTTCTATATCAAATTCACCTAAATTCCATTATTTGTCAACAGTTAGAGTTAGAGTCTTTTTATTTGATATCAACACTCTGTTTTCATATGATTTCTACACTTATATTTTTAATATTAAGATTCATACCAAAATAGTAAAAATGATTACAACCTAAGCTACCCATTAGAATTAGCAAAACAATTGAGCCCAAAATAATACAACAACTAGTTGCTTCCACTATTCCATGCAAGTTCCTTCCTGGTCCTGGTCATCAAAATAAAACCAACACAAAAGAAGATGATCGTGAGCTGGCTCAGGTTTTGGTTTTCAGCATTTGGCGACAACGGAACAATGTGCTCCACAACTCTCAGCAGGTTGCTCCGCAACTTATCTTCAAGACGCTCGACCATGAGCTGCGCAATATCATCACTTCAAGACGACAAAAGAAGCGTTGGCGCCGCTTAATGCTCCTTTGGATTCGATGATAGTTACTCTTTTCTTTTCTTTCATTATTATAGCCTTGTTTTTTTTTTTTGCCTTGGCTGCTCTTCTTTAGATTCTTCCTTTATAAAACCTTAAATTGATCTATATGATATTTACATTATTAGCAAAAAAAATGACCATATCCTAGTAAAACCTGCTAGTAAATTAAAAAAAAAACGTTTATCACACTGAATAAATTACCCTATATTTACTTTAATTATACAATTTCCCCCTTTTTTTTTAATTACTTTTGCTAAACCCTAAAAATCTTAAACGGCGTTTATCCTTCTTCCACTCCCTCCGCCGCGTTCTCTGTCTCTCAAACCCTCAGGTTAACGATTCTTCTTATAGACCAATTCCTGCTTCTTCCGCATCCTAGCCGGAATTTGAACTGAGATTCACCCATTGATTTCTCCACTCTTTCTCATTACTCAGATTCGATTTCGTTTAGTCTCGGCACAGAACAATGGCAGCAAAACCTGGAGCTGCAACTCCAACGTATTCACCAAAACTCGTCGGAAGAACTCGGCTTCCTATTTTCAAAGATTCCGACCTCGATTGGTCTCGTCCTGATGGCCGTGGCTTCCACCAATGCCGACCTGCTTGTAAATAACCCCTTTGATCCCTTTCTATTCTTAATCGCTAGGGTTCTTCATTGTGAAATTACGATCCAAGTCATATGAAATAGTTCTTTGTGAGACTAAACTAAACTTGAATTTTGTTTCTTTTGTGAAAAAATGGTTTTTTTCTTACTGCAGTACTTCAAACTGGTGCTGTGAGTTCTGCTTCTGGTTCTGCTTATGCTGAGTTTGGGAACACTAAAGTCATTGTTTCAGTGTGAGTATCATATATTCAGGATTTGCATTAACTTTTCTGTCAGCTAATTCTACTATGTGTGTTGAAAAATGTAGATTTGGGCCAAGGGAGAGTAAGAAAGCAATGGTTTTTAGTGATGTTGGTAGATTGAATTGCAATGTTAGCTATACAACTTTTGCTTCCCCTACTCTTGGTCAGGTAACCCCCAAATTCCTCAAATTTATACGTTTTCGTTTGAGGTTTCATCAAATTTAGTTATACGTTGTGGTATGTTAGGGAACTGATCACAAAGAGTATTCATCGATGCTTCACAAAGCATTGGAAGGCGTAATAATTATGGAGACGTTTCCAAAAACAACTGTTGATGTTTTTGCATTGGTGCTTGAATCTGGAGGAAGTAAGTCTCATGACTCTCTATATTCTTATAGTCTTAACGATACTAAACTACTATCAAAATTCTATTACCAGAATATGGTAACCTTGTGTGAGCATAGATGCTTATTGATTCTCTTGGACATTGGTGCTCGTGGAGTTGATTATGGCATTTTCTGATTTTCTCCAATGGTATTGTATTGCAGGTGACCTCTCTGTTGTGATATCATGTGCTAGTCTTGCTTTAGCTGATGCCGGAATTATGATGTATGACCTTATCACAGCTGTTTCAGTGGTATGTGTATGTTACAATAGTTGCATTAATTCCTCTGCGTTATCTTTTAAGTTTATTAGCATTGGAGAAGAATGTTAACATATACATTGACATATACAAGAGCACCATAGTTTAAGACGTAAAACCTATAGATGTCTCCTAATTCTATATTTTGAAACACTGACTGAGAAATTATGCCTTCAATTTTCAAAGTCTTGCATAGGCAAAAGCCTTATGATTGACCCAGTTACAGAAGAGGAAGGATGTGAAGATGGAAGCTTTATGATGACATGCATGCCATCTCGTTATGAAATCACTCAGCTAACCGTCACTGGCGAATGGACAACGCCTAATATCAACGAGGTATGCCTTTCTCTTGTCCTTAATTTGCGGATGACGGTTAAAGACAGAGGTCTTTCTTTTCTCACTGTTGAATATTGATGTTATTCAACTGCTTTGTTTGTCTAAATCACATGGATACTGGTTCATTAGACTGTTCATACCATAGAGCTATGTGGTTAACATATTGATGCTTTATTATGAACTAATGGTGTCATAGGAGCTGTGTAGACATGTTACCAAACCTTTTTATTTCAAATATTGCAGGCAATGCAGCTTTGCTTGGATGCTTGTTCTAAACTTGGAGAGATCATGCGGGATTTACTGAAACAGGCTGCCTCAGCTTCCGAAGAATGAACATAAATCAAGAAACTATGATTTTGGATTGTCGCTCAGACTTGTTATGAAGCCGGTTTAGCTGTTATAGGTAAACGGATTTAGTCTAAACCTGTGTGGTGTAGTTGAAACCGATGTATCTTTTCACATTAAGATTTGATGGAACTAGATCTTTAGTTATGAAATGAATCCCTATTGAGAGTGGTATCAAAGACTTCCGCGTTCCATGATATTCCTTCAACATTTACAGAATTTCAAGAACTTCAACAAATCAATCATTGTTCTTTTTTAAAAGTTTCAAAAGTTGTGGAAATTGAAGTCTCCTTTCCACGGATTTAAATCAGATTTTTCTAATTTTATACAAAAATGCAATGATATCAAGAATAGTATTACCGAACACTGAAGAGAAGCGTAACTAATTTTTGCATCTTAAAAAGAAAAAGTCTTCTCTGGTTCACATCACAAGTTTGGGGCGGTGATGAAGGAGGGTATTTAGGTAGTTTCAGCTTACGTCGGAACTTCAACTGATCATGTACGTGTACAATGCGAAGAAGAAGAATCTAATCCGCATGACATGTGAGCCTTGTTAGAAAAATCGCTAGGCGCTAATCGGAAAATCGGATTAAAAGCAAGGATTAATCGGAGACTAATTTTAGGATTATTTTAATATTTTTAAAACATATTAATCTAATATTGTTTTCAAAACTAGGATTTAACCGGACAAATGTTTTATCCATAAATATAATAATATTAAATTTTATGGTTTTTAATTTAGTATTAAAGTTATATAATTTTATATTAATGTTGTAACTAAAAAAATTAGTGATGATAAAATAATAAAATAAAGATATAACCCATGTTATATTAATCCAAACTCGTCCCGCTATATAACTCGTCTCATGATATTTTAATTAATAATGTTTTATAAAGGTAAAATATATCAATAATAATATTTCAAAAATAATAATTGTTTTTTTTTACTTTAATGTGATCACATTCTTTGTAAATTTTTACTTTACTAACACAAAAGTACTTTAAAAAAGTACTTCAAAATTTTTAATATATATAATGTTATTGTTTTGGGTAAAAAATATTATTAATAAATATTTAGTTTAATCATAATTTGGGATTGATATACTTGTGTTTTTGACTAACTGTTTTTTCTTTTAATAGCCTACTAGATCAAGATCCGCACGTATGTGCGGGGTTTTTGTACCATACGATTTTCTAGTATAAAATTTATGACATCTAGGTTTCGAATGTGTGTATCAGTTTGAATTTGTTATGACTATTTAAAATAGATTTATGTAACAAATTAGAGGATTGAATATATTAGTATTGGGAACTGATCAAATCGTTCGAGACATATGTATTCCGGTATATTTTGTATAAAAATAGTTGGGTATTACAAAACATTACCTTGTTAAATTAAATTTTTTTTGTAACATAATTTATGTGTTTAGTAATTAGTATAGTAAGGAAAAAATATCAAATCTATACTATTAATTTTTTTATATTGATACAACTCTATACTATTAATTTATAATGATTAATATCAATTTTACACTAACATGGTCACATTTTGTTTTTTTTCTTGGTCCAAATTCAAGATATTGTCTATAATGGGCCAGATACATTCATCATAAATATTTGTGTTGGGCCGTAAAACACACAAATATTGGTCCTGCACGCCTTTCATATTATGTTTTTTTTATCTGGGAAGATACTCCCTTTTGGTCCTTGTCTGAAACCTTCGACAATTTTCCAATTTGAGAAAATAATCTTTGTCGGCCGATCGACGAAGCTGTATCGAAATCCATCCGAAATCCACTTCCATCGTCTTCGCTTATACATCAATTCTTTGCAAATTATAAGATCTTAAAAGAGGTAAGCTTTTCTTCCCTTTGATTTTTGTTTGAACTTTTTTGGAATCTGTCGATTGGGTTTCTACCATAGATTTTTTCTTGTTTCATTATAGATCTTATACAACGATTGTGAATAACCCTTCAAAAATTTGATTAATTATTACCTTTTTCATATCTAATTGCATGCAATTTTTTTACATGTTTCGTTTTGTTTAAACATGTTAGTTAGTCAATCAATCTGTTTCTTCTCAAAATTCATAGTGTTAATAGACTAAATCTAATCAATTTCAGTATATCTTTTAAGCTGTAAATCTATAATCTTTTTTTGTTTTTATACTTGTTTCAGATTAGTAGCCATATTTCGATGGTTTCTCAAAAGAAGAAGAATAACGAAGATAAGTTTTTTTTATCCAGATTATTATATAACTTGAGCACTTTATTGCAAAATGCTCCTGCTTCATTATTCTTTAGCAAAAAAAGATAATTAAACATTTTATTTACAAATAATCATTAGAAGAGTAAATCTATACTATTGATAAATCGTAAATTACAGATGTATCAGCAAGAATCATCTCGACAGTCTCCCCGGAGTATTGGGTGTATTGAGTCCATGAATGGACGATTTTCACTTGGATCTTCCATTGAGTCTTGAATGGTTTGACTGCATTAAGTTCTGTGATGGGAAGAGCCATTGTTTGAGAGGTATGCTTTGAGTTTGATAGCTTAGTGTGTATTGAGAATGTCGTTTGATTTCTATATTTATAAGAGATGGAGAAAGTATAGGGTTGGTTAGGGTTTAGAAAATTCCCGTCTAAGAGAAGATTTGAGAATAAGAATAGTTAAGGTATATGCTTAATTTATTCGGATATGAAGATATAGAGTTTGTTATTATTGGCTAAAGTAATAACAAATCAAGGAAATCGAATATTAAGAGATAAGTTTTCTTTAAATTATCTAAATATATGGGATTGAGTTGTTATTGAAATATCGGTTTAGTTAATTAGTAAATATAGATTTGTTTGTTATGAAAAATATCTTTAGTAATCACGAATCTAATATTATGTTTTGAATTAATGCAGATCTACTAAATGCGAAATATCGGTTTAGTTAATTAGTAAATATAGATTTGTTTGTTATGGAAACTATCTTTAGTAATCACGAATCTAATATTATGTTTTGAATTAATGCAGATCTACTAAATGCGAGAGAAATATAAAGGCCCAACATCGACTAAGCCCAGTAAGCTCATTATGCACTTCTGGATAGAGATCCGACTGCTGGCTCCAAGATCCGCTGGTAATGGATCCAAGATCCGCGTGTAATTGGCCTTAAAATTGTCCATTATACCCTCTGACGATTTCTGTTTTTTAGTCGTTGGTTTTAAATTTTCCAATGGCATTCTATTGTAATTTTTTACACTTTATAGGGTTAGTTTAGTTAGAATGATTCCCTTTTAATAGTATAGATATTTGGGCATTTTTGTTAACATTATTTGAATTAGCAATATCAACTTAATACATGTACAATTTATTCTTACCAGAAAAAGAACAAAATTTAATAAAAATCAGAAAAGAAAGTTTTAGGGTGTGATAATTATTTTGTACAATTGCAAATTGGAAAATAGTATATAGAAAAACAGAATTAGAACGCCAGAATAAAAAAATCAGAAAAAAAAATTTTAGGGAGTGTTTTTTTTTTTTAAATTGTGATGGATGGCTTCTACATATGAACTACTATAAGAGGAAGATCATAAAATCAAAATAAAATAAAATCAATTTCGATTCAATAAAGTGATTCAAAATAAAATAAAATCAATTTCGATCTTCTCAAGAAGAGTGATATTGTATTGAACAAACATGATTGGCAAGACCTAACGAATCATTCAAAAAAACATAATCAAACATATGAAAAAAAAAAAATTTTTTTTTTTTTTTAATGAAGATTTAGAACTGTAGAGAGCCGATTTATCGTAATGATTATTGAAGGGAAGCTTAAGAAATGGATTTTAATTTATAGGGGATTGGAAAAGAATTAGGGTTTCAATTTTTAAAATTGTGGCGTAATTAATTTTTTATGAAAATTTTAAAGCATATATTGTAATATGAGATTTCATTCTTTTCATTAACTGAAAATAAATGATTTAAAACGAAAATCAGGGTGATTAATGCTTATTGATCCTCTTAAAAGGATTGTTAGTGTGTAGTATATTTTGTTTAGATTTGGAAAGATTTAAATGATTTTTGTAATTTTTTTTTAGTTTTCCTAAATTTTTGTAACAAAATCGATTAATATCTAGATTTGAGAATAAATTTGTTAAAACATTAAATGCCAAGCATTGTATTATAAATATTAGCAACTCTAAGATTTATTTGCTAAGTGTATTCTAAAAATGTATATATGGATTGCAGTAAACACATAAAAGTAGATTTTTAAGACAAATTTTATGATTTCTATTAAAAAATTATGATTTTTTATTAAAATTTGAACATAAGTTATTGTAAAACATCACAAACTCCCAATTCAAATGATTGAATAACAAAAATAAAAAGTTTTTTTTATACTTGCTATCAAAAAATAATCGGAATATATAAGATTAGGCGGAGAATAATCAGATTATATACGGGAAGTAATCGGATTAGACGGAAAATAATCATATAACTGATTTTTTTAATGGATTAGTCATTAGATAAAGTGGATCTAGCGATTAAGCGAGAAGTAATTGGGTTAGACGGAAATTTTTATAATGACTATGAGAGTAGTACTTTGGTAAGAGAGAGAAGAGAAGACGTGTGTCGCTACAAAGTGGACAGTTGTACCCTCGGAGGCAAAGAAGACTTCCCACGTTTTCAACACCACCTAACAACTGTTTCTTTCTATCTCCACTTCTTCTCCATTTTTGTTTTTATTTTTTTACTTCTCCCAGTTGTCTCTATGATTTTTTGTTTTTTCTTGTCTTCTTGTTAAGATTAATGATACATTTAACTAAAAAAATCGCCACAACAATATTACTAGTAGTAAATATTAATATAAAGACCTTTCAAGTACATTCTTGAATTTCTTGCAATGACATGAAAAAACATGAAAATTTGTGGGAACATGAATGATAAAAGGGTTACTTAAATGCTTCTATCTAACATTTTAGCTAGGTTTTTGTACTGAATAATTTCTATCTAACATTTTATCCGCTGTAATCATTATATTCCGATTATATTGAACAAATTTTTTTCTTTTCTGTTTTTGAACACAAATTTTTGATTAACTTTATACAATCTCTAAAATCGCATTCTTCATGTGCGTGTAAGTGTGGTCGTATAAAAGTGTATGTCTTCACATTCAATAACGTAGTTCTACTAAAAATTAAAAGGAAAAATGTCATTAAAATCCTCAACTTATTGAAAACATTGATTTAAATCTTCAACTCTCGACGAAACGAAATAAATATCAAACTTATGTTGACTTTCCAAATAGATACTAAACTTTCGTTGACCTGGCCATGTTAGACATGGCGTTAAGTGGGTTAACAGACTATATTAATTGGGTTAATTTTCAGTTAACAGATCCGTAAATTGAAAACTACAGTATTCCCTCCAACAATAAAAAGACGTTTTTTTTTTGTTGTAACTCCTCAATAAAATCTCGAATTTCAAATCATATGAAGATTTAGAGTTAAGAATTTTGCTCGATTTGAGGATCTAAGATTGAATTTAGGAATTTAGTTCAATCGTTATGATAAAACGACGTCGTTTGTTGTTCTAGGAAACTATGTCGTTTTCAATTATCATGTATGTTAATAGAAAATTAACTCTGTTAGCGGGATCTGTTAACCCACTTAACGTCATGACTAATATGAGCATGTCAACGAAAGTTTGGTATTTATTTAGAAAATTAATATAATTTTGATATTTATTTCGTTTCGTCGGAAGTTGAGGATTTAAATCAACGTTTTAATTAATTGGGGATTTTAACGTTATTGTTGGTGTTTATATAACTAAAATTGGATCAAAAGATATCTAAAGTTTTAGTCAAAGTTATGCGTTACTCAAATAGAAAAAAAAACATTAGAAATCTAAAAATAATATCTGCTCGTCATAAAACTTTTAAGTTTTAACATTCAATAAGTCAATAAAAAATAAATTTACGAATAAACCCCTAATTAGCCAAATATGAACAAACAAGGTAGGAAAAGTAGGGACGGCCCAACCGGGAGATTGCAGTAGATTTATACAAATGTGTAAAATATAATTTACCGGTTTAGTAAAAAATACTGTACTAATTAGATTTTAATACGAGAGAGAGAAAGAGAAGCAATTTCGTGGGGTTTCCAAGAGATATATTTTTAGAGATTGAGATCTGACCCCATTTTTTTGCTTAACACACAAAAAATCCTCGGGCAGAGGAAAAAGTTTATAGCGACTCAATTTCTCTAAAAGGGTCTCTTCTTCTTCGTTTGGTTTATCTTCAGATCTCCATTTGTCTCTCTCTCTCCCTCTCTCCCTTTCACGGTATCCTTCCTTCTCTCTTCCCCCTCCCATGTCTCTATTGACTTTAATTTGCTTTGGTTATTGCTGATTTCTTAATTTTAATTTCATACATCTGCTTCTCATCGATCGCCTCTGATCTTTTGCTAATTTGACTTCTTTCCGTTTGTTTTGATTTGACTCTCCGGTAAAGGTTTGATCTTTCGCATGTATTTCGAATCTGCTGTTCTTAGTTTGTTTTCTTGTTATTAATCTTGTTTTGTCTGGATATGCATTTGATGGCGATAATGATCTGTCTTAATATTGAGTAATTGAGCACTTTTATTTACAGATCTTTGCGTTATAGATCCTTTCTTTTGATTTTAATCCTAGATTAGTTTTGGATCCGTTACATCGCAATATATTGTACTGATTTTTTTGATGGTTTTTTTGGTATTAGGATCAATCCTCTGTTTTTTTTTATAGAAACAATGGGCGTTGAATTTGTAAACTCTGGTGGATTTGAGGTTGCTCCGGCTCCGTTCGAGGGGAAACCCGAAAAGAACGGAGGAAAAGGAGATGAAGTCTCTATCAAGTTTGGTTCACACGGTGAGCCACCAAAGAAAGCCGAAGAGAATATCAACAAAGTGTTGAACTCTGATGCACCAAAAAATGCTGCAGAAGAGTGGCCTGCGGCCAAGCAGATCCGCTCTTTCTACTTTGTTAAATACCGTTCTTACACTGACCCGAAAATGAAAGCTAAGCTTGAGCTAGCTGATAAAGAGCTTGAAAAGTTGAACAAAGCTCGGAGTGGAGTTTTGGACAAGTTGAGAGCTAAGAGGGTAAGTTTTTGAACCCTCTTCTTGTCTCGAATGATTTAGGGATTTCATTATTTCTTTATAGTGGTGCTCAAAATGCGGTTTTTGGTAATGCGTAGGCCGAGAGATCAGAGTTATTTGATCTTCTGGACCCGTTGAAGTCAGAGCGTAAGGGATTCAACACTATGTTTGATGAGAAAAGAAAGGAAATGGAACCATTGCAGCAAGCACTGGGAAAGCTAAGGAGCAATGATGGTGGGAGTGCTCGTGGCCCTGCTATCTGTTCCTCCGAGGAAGAGCTCAATAGTATGGTAATTATAATCTACTTGTTCGCTCCATCCTTTTGAGACCTTTTCTTTTTTCGATAGCTTTGGTTGGCCTTTTGTGTATTCTCATTTGCTTGAGTTTTGTGGAAAATGAAGATATACAGCTATCAGTATCGGATTCAACATGAAAGCATTCCCTTAACCGAGGAGAAGCAGATTCTCAAAGAGATCAGGCTGCTTGAAGGGACAAGAGATAAGGTCATTGCTAATGCGGCAATGAGAGCCAAAATCAAAGAATCTATGGGTCAGAAGGATGATATCCAAGGTCAAGTTAAGGTAAGAGAGTTGTGGTCGGATTCTTGCAGATTTAGTCTGTAGAAGTTGGTTTCATATTTTCCTTTGTGATGCTTTTTGCAGTTAATGGGTGCTGGTTTGGATGGAGTGAAAAAGGAGAGACAAGCAATTTCAGCAAGGATCAATGAGCTGAGTGAGAAGTTGAAAGCTACGAAAGATGAGATTCAGGTACTGGAGAATGAGCTCAAGACTGTGAGCGAAAAGAGAGACAAAGCCTATTCAAACATTCATGACCTCAGGAAGCAACGGGATGAGACGGTACAAACACATACTTTCGGCCATTTTCTTGTGATGAAGAATGATTTGTGCCAATTAGTAATCTTTGATTTTTGTATACTTTTCTCATACAGAATTCCGAGTATTACCAAAACCGTACTATGTTGAACAAAGCTAGAGACTTGGCTGCACAAAAGAACATAAGCGAGCTTGAGGCACTCTCCACTGCCGAGGTTGAGAAATTTATTGCCCTTTGGTGCAGTAAGAAGAATTTCAGAGAAGCTTATGAGAAGAGAATCTTGCAATCACTTGATAGTAGGCAGCTGAGCCGAGATGGACGGATGAGGAACCCCGAAGAGAAGCCTCTGATTGCTCCAGAGGCACCACCATCAAAGGCAACGCCTTCTGAAACTGAGGCTGTCCCTAAAGCTGAGGCAAAGCCGCAGCCAAAGGAGGAACCAGTCACTGCACCTAAACCAGATGCTACTGTTGCTCAGAATACTGAGAAAGCTAAAGATGCAGTAAAAGTAAAAAATGTTGCAAATGAAGATGATGATGATGAAGTATATGGTCTTGGAAAGCCGCAGAAGGAAGAAAAACCGGTTGATGCAGCTACGGCAAAGGAAATGAGAAAGCAAGAGGAGATTGCCAAAGCCAAGCAAGCCATGGAAAGGAAGAAGAAGCTGGCAGAGAAAGCTGCTGCTAAAGCTGCTATAAGAGCTCAAAAGGAAGCTGAGAAGAAAGAAAAGAAGGAAATTACCTTTTCTTTTTTTGTTGTACCTCAATGCTCTTTGCATTCTTCTCTCTTTTCCATTCTAACAGTTCTCTCCATCATTTTTGTGTGTTGCAGGAGCAAGAGAAGAAAGCCAAGAAGAAGACCGGAGGCAACACAGAAACCGAGGCTGAGGAAGTTCCAGAAGCTTCTGAGGAGGAGATTGAAGCTCCGGTGCAGGAGGAGAAACCGCAGAAGGAAAAAGTCTTTAAGGAGAAACCAATAAGGAACAGGACCCGCGGTAGAGGACCAGAAACGCTCCCGAGAGCGATCCTTAAGCGTAAGAAGTCGACTAATTACTGGGCTTATGCTGCTCCAGCGGCTCTGGTGGTACTGTTGCTTCTTGTCTTGGGTTACTCCTACGTTCTCTAGATCGAACGGAGAGATCAAGCGAAGGTGTCTTGTTGGAGTTTGGAATACTTAAAAACTGGATTTTTGCCTTCTTGACTCTTAAAAAACTCATAAGCTTATGCATCATTTACATACGAGTAGAGACTCTTTTCTTTCAAGTACTTTTACATCTTCACTCCTTTGTTGTTTTCTCTTCTGTTGTTGAGGCTTTAACTTTGAAGGAAGAAAACAGTTTTTGTTACATTTTATAGTTTTTCAGTATGTACTGCTTGAGATTTGATATTTCTTTTTGTCTCTTTACTCTTTGCAAGGGCGTTGGGTCTTAAAATTTCCACGAATAATAGAAACCATTTTTACATAATTATCAGAGGCTAATAAAGTAATGACATTTCTACATGATTAACTCTTTTACAACAGAAGATACACTCAGCTTTTAGACACTCTTCCTCTGCTCTCTCTCCAAGCCTTTTTCTTCTTATTCCACCTTTGGTTAGCAATCTTTTCCGACTTCCACCGCTGCTTCCGAAATCGTTCTCTCCCTTTTAGCCAATCGGAGTAGTCCTTACCGGGCTCACACGCTATGAAATCTGCCAACTCGTCCACATCGGTTTGTCTCAGGTTACCTTTTCCAGTCATACACCACAGAAATTTCTCCCCATTGCAGCTTTCCTCTTCAACACCAACTCCTGAATCCGGATCATTCTCTGGATCTTTAGCTTCGGACACCTTCCTGCACAACCATGGAGTAAGATATAGTAGTTGGTTAAAGATCTCATGAATGCATATATTATCATAGACTATGAAAGCGAAGAAGAGAAATCAATAGGATTTTGCTGGTCTATACATACCCCATATACAAAGTTCGGATTTTATGAAACTTCAAAGCAACCGCCCCGCTCTGTTTCCTATCTACTGCAGTCTGTACCATATAATCATACTGATCCAATTAGAAAAGCGCAGAATTCAGATGTTTTGCAAAGAGATTTTAGTTATAACTTACCTCGTCAGCTTTACCAGAAGCTGCCAAGTTTTTGGAACCACTTGATGGTATGGACGATGAAAGATTTTCTGAGTGTCCAACTGAATCCCCAAGTGCTTCCAAGTCACCCCCTTCTAGGATGAATAAATACAGAGATATCACAATTCCAAAAATAGAGTCCTTCACTAGAAAGTCAAGCTTGAGTGCAAAGCTTACAGACAGTAAGCCTGCAAAGTGCATAAGCATCCACTTAGATTTCACATTTCTGTGAGGATGAGATTCCAGTCTCTCGCGCAGGAAACTTTGACAGGGCAAATGAACACTGAACTGTTCAAAACGTTGAACAACATCCATCATGGCTTTGTATTCCTTGCAAGCTCGAACATCACCTACAGCTTCAGATCGAAGCCAGTTCCAATTCCTGAGAACCCGGATGGCTTGCAACATCGAACAAGTCATGAACTTAAGTGTGGATGCAAGTAGATATAGATCTTCCATACTAGATGTGTTGTATTTTTCCAACACAGAGTCCACAACATCATCAGAACTAGCTCTAAGTATCACGCAACCAAGAATTGTTAAGGTCTGAGACAACATATTTTCCGAGCAGGAGCTATCAAATATACACAAGCTTTCCTTAGCGTATGCAACAGAATACGCTACCAGCTCATTGTTTTTTCTCTTCGCATTATCACTTTGATATGAATCCCATGAATCCTTTAGCTTCAGTGTAACATCATTAACTTTCGTCAGTGTTGAGGGCAAAACACGATGTTCAAAAGCCACCCGAGACTTACTCGTCAAAAAACCAAACTTCCCAGATGAGCCTTTCGCACTCTTAGACATGTGTATCTTATACAACACAACAGACTTTTCAAATGCATCAATATAGTGATCAATAAGTTGAAGGTCTAATCCCTTAATGCATGGATGTGAACAAATACCAATGGCGTCAGACACCAATAAAACCACATAGGCATGGATCATTCTTGGTGCAGAGAACATAACCGGGTTTAGCAGCAAGGACACAGCAGCACTCATGCTTATCTGGGGAGTTCTAAATGCATTACCTTGCTTCCAATATAATCTCTCAACACACATTTGATTCGTTTTCTCATCAGAAGTTGAGATGATAAAATGAGCAGAAGCCATTTCTACCACACCGGCCCTATCATGCTTACTGAACAGTCTACATGAGGAGAATGCAGAATCAACTACGAAAAGAAGATCCCTGATTGACTTATTCACCAAAATCTCATCCATGAAAACCTGTTAATATAAAGAGTTAGGGACATAATAAAAAAAGCCAGTGGGCATAACATTGTCTTAAAAAAAATTCAACTTAGAAGCCCTTGCCAAAGGTTTAGTCAAAAGCCACAAGTTTCATAAGAAGTCCAAGAAATAAAATGACACAAATTTGTCAACTTTTTACCTCAATCCCTGTACAAAGAAACATATGGCGAGGATCAAAAGAACCGTCCTGCGTGAATACAAAAGAACAATCTCCATTTCTTGCACAAACCAATCTAGTGAGGATCGAGAGAAGAGTTTTGGCCTTCTCCAGAACCAGCTCTTGTTTGGGCACAAGTAAACTCATGATCTTCATACAAGACTTTAAGAACAGAGTGGCTAATTCAATACTATCTTCTGTGCTTGCAAATGTGGGACAAGCTTCAGCCTTTTGTTTGAACAAAGTAGCGAATAGGTTTTTGAAACTCGTATCAAGCTCTGTGAACAAAACATCAGAGAGGTAACAGACATCCTCGAAACTGATCAATTCCACTTGCTCTCCCCTGAATTTGATATTCCAATAATGTGAAGCAACGTCACAATTCTCCCAATTTATTGGTTGGGTTAATGATAAAGGACCCAGAAGGCACAATAAACGTTTCAAAATTGGCTTCTGAGAAACCTGGAAATTCAAAAGAACTTGGATGATTATTTCGAAAAACCCTAAATTGCTTCACGCCCTTAAAAATCATTACTTTTGAGCACGAAACTACTTCTAGACAAAATTTGGGAAACTACTCAGAATCTAAGCATTGCCCAGTAAATTCCGAGAACAGAAACCAAGATGCAGAAAGAAACATTGTACTCGAAATTGAGCAAATTGTACCTGAGAGGACGTAATTGCTGAAGCGAGGGATCGGAATAAGTTGACGGAATCTGAGACCTTCGAAGCAGGGCGTTTCTTACTGTTTCGCTTGGCCGTCATCGCCGTAAGGAAAGAGGAGAAACTGCTTCTATCGGTGAGGTTCTCGATTTGAGGCACTTTTTGTGGTGTGGCGGGAAAGTACAAAGTACCCGTCGTTTTTGTGCATTCCAGACGACACGCAGTTTATGAAGGAAGAAGGCCTGTTTGTTTGGTCACAAATGACCAGGTTACAATTAAGTTGACACTCTTGAGTTTCCGACTTTGGATTGTCCGTTTTCTACCTAAAGAATAAAGATTTGTTATTAGATTCGATATGTTTGATGTTGTTTTCTCCGGACAAAATTAGTCAGTCGCAGATGCTGAACTCTTTTTTGACTTTTTAGATTTGAACAACAGCAAGAGTGTTACTGTGTTAGTGAACTCAATCTTGTTTTGGGCTCTTCAAATTGGGCTTGTTCATCAAAGTTTTGACAAGCTTAGTCACAGAATATGGACAATTATGTCATATGACACTTGATTTTTGTGTTCCATGATTTCTTATTTTTTGTTTTGCCTGGTTGAAGGTTTTTTTAGAGGAACTTGGTGCTTGGTGGGTCCGAGATAGAGACACTATGTATTGTCAGTTGTCACTGTTTCTGTATCCAAGTTTAAACACTTGGACGATTCGTAGCATACGCCACGTTTCTCCGTCGAGGGGTCTGTACTAGCTAGCGATGATACAATGGCTCCTTGTCACGTGTACCTCTCATAGCCTTGCAACATAGCTATCGTCTTTATTATCTTTGGTCTCATTCACAATAACACTACTTTGGTTCTCTTCTTAAAATTTGTTTTTTCTAATACAATCTTTCAGCCTCAGTTAAATTCATTTATTCGAACAAAAATAGTGTTAACATCCCGAAAATGGGAGTTTACCACAAACTCCAAATGATTTTCTTTATAGTGATAAATTGGTAAAGTAACGTCTCAAACGCTCTAAATCGGATGCACATGCACTGAATGCAAAACTATTGTAGGTCCATAGTTTTCTACTGCCGACAGAGAGAAGAAATAAGCAAAAATTCAATTTGGTAAAGTAAAGTGAAAATACACCGTCGACGAGAAAATGGGAAGAAAAGTCAGCAAGACTTGTACCTATCTTGTTAAGATCATAAAATAAAAATAAAGTAGAAAATAAAAAGAACTTTCTTGCATGAGTGATATTGACATACAGAAAAGAAAAGCATCAAAAAATACAGCAAGACTTATGTCTTTCCCTTACGTGGGAGCTTTAGTAGGTAAATGAAATAAAGGGAGTTCAATGAAAAGTAACTTTCTTGCATTATACTCTATAATGTGATTGTAAAAGCATTGAACCACCAGTTTTCATTTGATGAAAAGAAAAAAGCATTGAAGTATTGAACTATATGTAAATGCAGCTTCGTACGACCCAACTTCATATAATCATATCCATCCATTCAAATTTAAACGAAATAAACAGCATTTAACTATTTTTAGACCTAACAAACTAGTACTATTAAAGTTTTTGTGCTTGAATAATAGTTAATGTTACTTGTGATCGATAGATGTAATCGTTCCTTTCTAAATGAAAAATTCCAGACATAAAACAGAAATTTGTTTTTCATCTTCTTATAATGTGTTTAGTGTTACTATTCAATTACTAGAAAACAACAGATACTATCTTCTAAGACTTCCAACATGGAATTTGAGTGTCAACACTCGCATATATGTAAACGTAATTAATATATGTATCACATAATGTTGGTATCTAATGACTGAAGTTATAATGTTTAAGGAACACAAGTGTCTATTATTTATAACGAAACAACGATCCAACTATACTCAATAATACGGAATCACAATGGGATCCAAAAACAATTTAAAAACAAAGTCGAAACTAAACCGAAACAAGAACAAATAATAGAATCCGACATGAAACAAGTCTCCAAGTGTTCTTATGCTGACAGAAAGATGGTCAAAACCAAACTTAAAACCGTAGTAATAGACATAACGGCCATACCATTCGCCGACGATTTTTTCTGCCCTGGAGCTCCCGCCGGCGTAGTGATATCACCGGAGGCTGATGGACCATCTCCCGAAGGACCCATCCCCGAGCCTGACGGAGAATCTGACGGTGAAGAAGAAGTAGAGCCTCCCGGAGCCAAAGATGGAGAAACGGCGGGTGAGTTTGAAACAGGGGTTGAAGATTTAGGTGCCATTGGTCCAGGTGGTGAAGTCATCGGAGCAGAAGACGGAGGAACAGTGGAAGATGATTTGGGTGCCATTGGTGCCGGCGGTGAAGTCATCGGAGCGGAGGATGGGGAAACAGGGGAAGTGGATTTAGGTGGAGCCGGGGGAGAAGTCGCCGGAGAAACAGGAGTATCGGATTTAGGAGCCATTGATCCCGGCGGTGAAGTCATCGGAGAACCATGGGAACCGGATTTAGGGGCCATTGATCCCGGAGGAGAAGTAGTAGGAGAAACAGGGGAGGAAGATTTAGGCGAGTGGGCTCCTCCCGGCGTAGAACTTCCCGGTGCAGCAGCGTGAGGAGGCTGAGCCGTTGATGGAACCTTAGCAGATATGACAACAACAGCAAGCTTTTGACCCTTCTTACAGTTATCTTCATTGCCACTGATGAAGTAAAACGGACCATAACGATCAAGAGAGATCTCAGAATCTCCATCGTCCACTCTTTTGATCGGATTCTTTGAATTACAAGCGTCGTAATCAGCCTTGTTTACCTCTACCACCGAGTCAGCTCCCTTAGCGTAGCTAAAATCTGCAAGAATCAAAAAAAAGTTTCAGAGAAAAGTTCACACAAGTTAAAGAAATGACACTAACAGGTAAGAGAGAGAGATGATATACAGAGTGTGTCGTGAACAAGGAAACGGTTTCTTCCAGACCAAGATTCGTAATTTTCAGGTGGGTTTGGAACCCACGCGCCGCTGCCTCCGACCTTAAACTTCCGTGCGTCGGAGATAGTGAAGAACGTAGAAAGAGAGAGGAGGATGGTGAAGAAGAAAGAAAGGCTTTTCATTTTTAGAAAGGTCATGGTTTTCAAAAGGTGTGAGAAGATAAGAGAGACAAATGGGTTTGTGTGTATGTAACAATGTTTATATAGAAATGAAGCGTTTCTAATGGTGGAGATAAAATGAGAAATGGGCTAAGGAAAGTGAAGCTTTTTGTCTTTATGATGGAGAGAGGTCGATTTTATGGTTATACGTGTTAGAAATTGAATCTCTGTATCTACTCGTTTTCTCTCATAAAAAGAAGATATTGCTTCTTCGTATCTGCCGACGTGTTTAATTTTATTCTTTTTGGGATTTGAAGTTTTAGTATGAATTTATCCCCGGAAAAAACGCATTAAAGAGCAACTGATTGTGTGGTAAGAATCGGATTCAACGAATCATATGCCATTTTCCATTACTATATCTGAGAGGATACCAAAAAGTCTTAAATCTTGTATCTGGTCTTGAATTACAAATTCATTTTCCATTTGATATGAGAATTCCGAAAAGCTTTAATCACATCTACATTAGTACATACTGGTCTCCTACGAATTTCCCACAAAAGAAACTTGCGAACCCGGAAGAGTGGTACTGGTGGTGGTAGTCTAGTAGATCCAATCACACAATGACACACAAGTCACATAAATCCCCAAATGTACAACACTTGCTACATTTTGATTTATGGGCTGGGCTTAGATTTGGGCCCTATATTTTCTTCGAGTTACTGATAAGAAGACTACAGAGTACAAGAATCACTGAATCAGCTTTTGCTCTTGTCGCTTTGAAGACACGTGAGAAGCACAATGATTAAGCACGTGTTCTTCTCCCGACACTAACTCGATCCTCAAATTACTTCCATCGGTGTGTAGGTAGATACATGAGAGCGAGAGACTCATATGTTGATCTGAAAGTGTAGGAAATGGCGGCTATGTTTTTAGCAAAGAGAGGAGGCATAAACATATACAGAGCTTCTTCATTACAGAGGGATTACAACAACGGTGCTCGATCTGTTGCTCATGGAGTCATTACCATCACTAACTCTCGTTACTTCAAATCCCACGTACGTTTTTGAAATTCGTTGAAGCTAGATTGATGCATACAAAAGTCGTTGAGGTGTTTTCCCTTATTTTTTTTCGAAAATTCTGCAGGGGAACAACGGAGGAGAGAAGTCAAAAGAAGAGGCGATGGGGACAACTACAGATGGTAAGGCTCCGAATGTGACGTTGAGTCATGCGGCTGATACAGCCAAAGAAGGATTGAAACGAGCCACCGATGCAGCCATCAAGAAGAAGAATGAAGATGCGAGCAAGCCCAAGAGTGTAGAGAGTGACGAAGGAGATGATCAGGAGAATGTAGCTGTGGGTGATGATGGAACTGTCAAAGGCCAAAATCAGTCAGCAGGATGAGAATATTATTCTTCGTTATAAGAATTTATAGTTATACCAAATAAAGTGGAATGTTGGTGACTCTAAACCGTGTGATATGTGTTTATTTATGTAGAAAACCATCTGTTGTTCCTTTTTTCCTCCATAGTTTGCAGTAGATGACAATAATAACAATTTCTTATTTACCTAAATAAAATTTTCTATTCTCACCATTCAGAAGCTTTTCCTTTTAGTATTTATTACAATGTGTGTGATTTCTTCTCTGTTTTAGATGATGTCTAACATTCACACTTTCTTAATCTACCATCTAGGCTGCTATTGTTGTCTGCCTCTCTCTGAGTTTGAGTTACCAAACACTACAATTCTTGATTTCCAAAACTGCTGATGAATCTCATTCAGAATCCAAAACTCTTGTGGATGCGGTTTATCTCCCTCGAGGTGGTTTCTTGGATGGCGTGAGCTTTCTGAACCCAGCATGCAATATCATAACTACATATAGACATAGAAAAGTTTCAGAGGTCATCAACGGCCATACAGCTAAAGACTTGACCATTGGTTAGTTAGTTACCTGAATAACTGATCGCAAGAGCAGAGAAAAGAGCCATTTGGACATTCAAAAACGTCAGAAGAACCGCTGTTACTGCAAGTAGAAGAAGCAAGGAAACGAGTTAAGGTCCATTCTACTATATAATCCATTAACAGTTTCAGTTCCTTGCTAATACCATGTATGATCCTATTGGAACTTTCAAAACATTACATCGAATGAGCTCATACTCTTATCCCGGAGTGATAATAAGAGCTCAAGTGATTTAACTAAACAAGCAAATCGACAGAACAATTTGATCAAAAGATTCCCAGAACCCAAAACTCTCTCTTTTGAATTCATATCAAAACGTTTTCAGCATTCTGTGACTATAAAACAAGTTGCAGAACTACAAATACCACCATGGCCCTATCTTCAATAAGCAACAAACAGGAACAAAATGATCGAAAACTCACCGCACTGTCCAATACCGATAGAGAATTTCCTCATGGAAGGGTGACGATCAAATTTCCATCTATCACTGCAGAATTTGAACAGCTCCCAAAGGGCTAAGCTTGCTAACAATCCCACCAATGCAAGTGGCATCTGATATCTACAAACACCAAAAATCGACACTTCAATTCCAACTCAATTTCAAGATTCATACTTTTAACCTAATCAAACAATGTCTAAATCTTTAGCCTTTATCCAATTAAGAGTAATGGGTCCTCACAGTGCACAAGCGAAGAAGACGATGAATAACGTAGCGTAATTCCTAGCGAACCGTTTGATATTCTCATGAACTCTCATTCTCGCTTGCTGAGAAGACGACGGGAACGAATAAGAGTCACAATTGCCAAAGAAACCGGTGGTCCACGGTGGCGTATCTCCGGAAAAATCATCGGCGGAGAGCTTGGAGAAAGGGTTAATGGTAAGAAGAGAAGAGACAGTGACGAGTCGAGACAAGAGAGAAGCGAAGAAACCACCGGTGATGGATGAAACGACATCGTCAGACGCCGCAGAAGTTGCGGCAGCTGAGGATGAAACGGAGGCGGAGGAGGAAGCGGCGGCTGCAGCGGCGGAGGTCCGGTGATCGAGGAGCTCTAGGTAACCGGAATCTCGAAGCCAAGATTCGAAAGCAGGATCGGGGACGCTTAGAGAGAGAGGATTAGGAGAGAAAGCCATTGTTCTTGTTGTCGCCGCGATTATCCGTAGTTACGTCGTCTCCTCGGTCTTCCCAAAACAATTTACAATAAATTGCAATTAGTGATCCAAAACATCTTCATAATTGCTAAAATAGTGCTATAAGATAAATTCTTGTTAATTTTACTCTTATAGTTTTATGAGATTATTTCTTTGTCCCTTTTTCACAAAAAATGTATTATGAAGAAAATTTATGTAACCATGACTTTATGTTTGATGTTCCGTGTTAGTATTGTATTAATCTATTATCTTACTGAATACATTTTATATTAGATGAAACATGCATGCACGAGACTAAATATCATTTTAAGTATCACTAGGATCGGACCCGCGGTCCACCGCGGGAGAATATTGATTTACATACGTTGATTTTAATATTGTGCATGTTTTTAATAGAACGAATCGTGTAGTGTACTTATAAATATTCCTAATAACAAATTGTAAAGAAAATATTAAATTGTTTATAATTAAACCAATCATATTAATTATGATTTACAAAATGAAATTTTGTGTTTTAGAATTCAAAAATTAGACGAATCATGGGAATTAAAGCAGTCAAAATAGGTCCAAAACCGCGGGTTGAGCCCAAATCATCTCACTATTGAGCAGATTTGGGAAAATATATTAAACCAGCAAATAAGCGGGCCACATGGATTGATTCGCAGTGGGTCATCGGTTTTCATCCGCGGGTTGGCGGATCAACCCGCATGATAGTATTTATTGATAAAAATATAATTTATTCAACATGTGGTAGTTTAAAAAACTTTTAATAAATGAAATTATAATATTTATAAATATAATGATATATAAGATTATAATCTCTAAATTTTTTCTAATTTATTTATTTCTTTAAATTTTGGTTACTCTAAAATTATTTAAACAAAATCCACGGATAACCCCGCAAATCAGCATACATTCGCGCGACGGGTTTGTGTTTCATATATGCTACCCGCGGGTCGTGCGGACAGACTAACTACATGCCAAAATATATTTGGCCTATTGCAAAACAGGCTTGACGGGATGAATCAACTCGTTTTGACAGCTCTAATGGAAATATTATTTAGTCATACAACACAATGGAGTTTGGACATAGGAATAATAGAATATGTATCTTATTTGTTAGATGAGAGATTGAAAGGTGAAATATAATGATTAAAAAATAATTAATATTTTTCATGATTCACAAAATTTAATAAATATTTATCATCTTGTTGAATAATTCTAAAAATCATATTCAAGAAATCTTTATAATTTGAAAATTAAACTTCTTTGGTAAGCTATAAGTATGAAAATACCATAATTTCGATTTAATCTAATTAAATTAAAATTAGTTACATATATTTCATATCTATTTAATTTACATGACCAAAATAAAAAAAAAATCTATTTAATTTATAAAATAGATGGGTTAGTTGTGATAAATTTTCTAGAAATCTCTAGAAGCAAGTAAGATATCTTTTAATTAATGATAACTGGCTAAAATAAGCAAAATTAATGTGAAAAACATTGATTATTATGGAATTAGTTCCAAAAGTATATGAACAAATATATTATACGTAATTAATGTATAATATTGTTTGGAATATGATTTTATAATTAGTTACCATAAGTACAATCAAATTTTATTTGATTTCCATAAACATTTGATTTTAGTTCGATTTTTCATTATTAATTCGAATTTATATTCCTAAAAAATTTCAAAGATCCGATTTCAGAATTTCGGGTCAATTTTCTGATTTTGACCCGACCCATTTACATTTGTACTTCTCTTTTAATAGATAGAGATATCAATTATAAAATAAAAGTTATTCTATGAATTAAGATAGCATATATAGTTTTTTAAAATATAATAACAGGAAATTATTAATTAAATCCCATTATTCTAAAGCGTAATTATATGATATTCTGGTATGTACTTGTTTTTTTAAATGGAAATAAATATATTGATACAGTATATCATAATAATAAATAGTTTTCCTAAGAAGAACTATACAGTGAATAGAACCAGGTTATTGGATACAGGTATTAATTAACAAGTGATTTTGAAATATGTGTATAGAAAAACATATGAGAGACACATGTCTACTAATAGTATAAGATAATAAATTTTCTTATTTTGTGTAAACAAATGTTCACAGAAGAAAGGTTTTTCGAAAGGTAATATTGAATTGAAAACTCTGTATTTAGCCAAGTATTATTTAACGAGTTTGAGATTTTATCCTCAATGATCTAATATATTAATGGGATCTAATCCACGACATAAATAGAGAAAAAAAACAGAAGCATGTACGTATATATTTTCAGGACTTTTATTAGGAAAAAAATCATCAAAAGTGAAAATAATCAAAAAGCTAACTAAAGAAAGTTTTTCACCAAACCAAAAGAAAAGACGAAATTCTTAATTATTATCCCGCACCCTGCCAAAAGTCAAGCCTTAAGTTTCTTATAAATTACAAGAAAGACGAGACCATTCTTCTCATAGCTTTTACTTATTTTTTAGAACGAATACTGATAGAGAGAAAGAAAATGGCAAGGCCACGACTGCTTGTAGTGTCGATGTCGCTTCCGGTCACTGCAAAGAGGACTGGAGAAGAGTCTTGGTCTTTCACGATGAGTCCTGGTGGTCTAGTTAGTGCTCTTCTAGGTAAGAATATAACAACTTTGGTAATATCGTAATTAATTAATGTATTAAACACAAAGAAATCAGTTTTTTTTTTTTTTTTTGTGGTGATCTCTTATAGGTTTGAAAGAATTTGAGACCAAATGGATTGGATGGCCTGGAGTAGATGTTCATGATGCGATTGGCAAAAAGACACTCTCCATTACCCTAGCTGAAAAGGTACGTACCACATTTTGAAATCTTGTATCGTATATAGTTCATGTTTTAATTTGTTTTGTAACTTGGAATTTGAGTCTGAAACATGAAATATGACCACCTAGACTATGTCATTAATCATCATATTAAACATTTTTTTTTGCTTTAAATGCTAAAGATTATGGTAACTTTTTTTTGTTGATGATTTAAGTGTTGGTTTGGTTTGCAGGGATGTATCCCAGTGTTTCTGGAAGAAGTGTGTGATCAATACTATAATGGCTACTGCAATAATATTCTGTGGCCGATTTTTCACTACTTGGGAACGCCACCAGAATATCGTAACGATGCAACCATAACATACCAGTCACAGTATGATGCATACAAGAAAGCAAATCAAATATTTTTTGATGTTGTTAAAGAGCACTATGAAGAAGGAGATGTGGTTTGGTGCCATGATTATCATGTCATGCTTCTTCCTCAATATCTTAAGGAATACAACAGTAAGATGAAAGTTGGATGGTTTCTCCATACACCATTTCCTTCTTCCGAGATGTACAAAACATTGCCCTCGCGATCCGATCTGCTTCGTTCTGTTCTTACTGCTGATTTAGTCGGGTAAGTAAATATCGTTTACTTTTAATGTGTAGACGTGTAGTAATCATTTTGGATTT